AATACATCTTTGCTTTCAAAAGGTTGCAAAGAGGCAAATGATATTTAACAAGGTAGGAGAATGGATATGGATACGAAATCACAATAGAAGCTAGCAGAAGCACAAAAACCCAAAAAACACATCTGTAGGAATATCTCAACGTTTAATTTTGATGAATAGGATTGACAACACACGACAACAGGAATTCGAAAAATCACAACACGAAAACAGAAGTGTTGGAAGATTGACAAAAAACTATGATTTCTATAAAACATATATTTTACACTATTTTGAATATGTACTTAGAAAATGCTATAAAGATCCTATCAAAACAAGAATTTCTTGGTAAACGATATTTTTTGTGCATGTACTATGGGTTGTAGGTTTGTCTAGTAACTTTATCAAAACCTTAATAGATTTACTTCTTTTGGTTCTCGACAAAGCAACGTACAACTGTTTGTGGAAAAATAAAGGTTCCAGAAGATAAAGCCCAATGAAATCTAAAGTATGACTTTGAGATTTGTTTATTGTCATTGCAAAACATAGAATGATTGGGAATTGATTTCTTTTAAAAGGAATTGAAGTTCTCTCTCTTTCAAGTGGTATAAACAGAATTCTATGTAAAAATACTTGCTTTCCAATGTATTCTCCAATAGCAATTTCTGCATCAATGACATTTTTTTGAAATCTTCGATAAACAAGTCTTGTTCCATTGCATAAACCTTCAAATGGATTAATATTTCGAAGTAACAAACTGGAAACAGTTTCAATATGAGTTCATGTGGTGGAATACCATTTGGAGTTAGCGTATTTAGAAAATCTTCTTGAATACTTTGTTCGGATTTTTCAATGGCTTTATCAAAACTGTAATATGTAAATATCTCACTGGGAATTTTTTTTGTAAAATATTATTTATTTGATAAATATATTCATTTTTTGGTGTCAAAATGACTCTATTAATCATAGTATCTAATTTTTTATACTTGGAAAAACTACGTTAATGAAATATTTCAGAGATTTAAGTTTGTCCTCAAAACATTTGTTATATCAGACGGAAGTTTAATCATCTGACATGAGTGTTACTTCTCTGTACCATTTTCGGTACAAAGTAAATATTTACAGAATAATAAATCCAATTGAGTTCTCATATTTTGAACCAATGATAAATGGGTAAAAGAAAGCCACAAGTTCGAAAAAACCAAACTTGCTTTCGTTGTGTTTTCTTTTTTTCTTTTTCTCTTTGAACGTGGTAAAACCTAATGAAAATCTCCTCCCAATATAATTTTTTTCCCACCAAATGGTGCATCACGTTCGTTTACATCTCTAAACACTTTATTTAAAGCCTCCACAGTGTAATGGTTTACCATTGGTTCCTCATCCCAAATTATTAGTTTAACCATTCTAAAAAGGCTTGCTAATGCAGACTTTTACTGATTGGACAAGTAACATCAGTTATTTCTAGAGGAATTTTAAACCTCGAATGTCCAGTCCTACCACCTGGTAATAAGGACGAAGTACTACAGAAGAAGTTTTAGTTAAAGAAATGAGATTTCTTGATCTTACTGTTTCCAATAAAGCCTTTTACAAATATGTTTTACCCACCCCACTAGGCCCATCGACAAAAAATATGCCACTTCGATCACTTAAAACTCGGTGTAAAATTGTATTATAAGCATTTCTTTGCTTTTTATTCAAAGTGTTCGTATCAAAATTGTCATTTTGATTACCACCATTTATCATCTCTTAAGAAATCATGGTAGCCAATGTTTCATCTTCGCCCATGCTTATATTAAACGACACCAATTAGTAATCGTTTATATTTTTGTTCAATGGTTCTAATATGGAATTTATACACTGTAATTCTTTTGTTTGAGCAGCACTAAATTGCATACTCTGTTGTATGAAATCTTCTAACATATAATTTTTAAACTTATCCCATAGTGAAAGTGGATTGTTAGGACTATAAAAGGTCAATACGATAGCAAATAACCTACGTAATGAAATGGGCATTTGGTAAACAATTGCTTCTGCAAAACATAACTTACAATTATTATTTTCGCTTAGTAAACCATGCAAAAGAGCTGCTTCACAAAATGTGGATGCCAATACACCATTTACGACTCTTAGATGTTCAAAAGAAGTTGATCCCTTAATGTGATTTAACAAAAAACGTAAGTCATATCTTTCACCGTTAGATGAATTAGTTGTAACTATTCTACCAATTACATTCTTTTGTTTTCTAGGAGTCCAAATTTCGTTCGTTTCCATCCCACATAAAATAAGAAGGGAAATCTCTATACAAAAGTGTACTGACTTTTTCATTTGTAATATCAGTACGAAAGAATTTAGTTAACATTGCCTTCACATATAATCTCTACTAATAACTACATCAAAATTATCAGAGTCTCTATATGTAATTAGTTGATGGTCTTAGGATTGCAATTGTGGTGAAACAACTGATGGAGACATTTCAGACAACAAAAATCTATAAATTCTCCACATCGCTTCACGTAGAGAATCCACCCAGCTGTTTGATATCTTGAAATTTCATCAGTATCAACATCTTGTTCATTGCCATTTATGGAAAACATTATTCGATCATGTTTTTTATAAACATATGTATATAAATATTTGACAGCTTTAACGGTTGAACATAATTCTATATTGATATGGCAATCATATTTAGCTATTAAATAAGGATTGTAAGGTATGACCCATCTATTATCTAATACATGTCCTCTGACCTTAACTTTTTGACCATCATTGCGACGTCTATATTGTGGATATGAATCGTCACCAAGTGAAGTTGCCATTGCATATTCTCTAGGATACTTATTTTTGCATATTTTATTATTTTCCATATAAACATTATTCGGATTTAATATTCCACAAGGAATATTAAATAGTAGGATGTAACAAGGATTTAATATTCCACCAAGTGAAGTTGCCATTGCATATTCTCTAGGATACTTATTTTTGCATATTTTATCATTTTCCATAAAAACATTATTTGGATTTAATATTCCACAAGGACTATGTAACATATGTTTTACAATAGTAGGATGTAAATAGGGATAATGAATTTTATCTGAAATTTCACAACAAACAATTTTATCAATCAAATCAACTGAAGTAACTTTTGATCCTGATTTAAAAATTTAAAAAAAAAAGCACGTTGAAGACCTCACTTTTGGAATTCTATTACATATATATATGCTGCAACGGGTCCTAAAATTTGTTTTCTAAATAAATCATTTTTTAGCTCCTCCAATTTAGCTCTTAGTATTCGTGCAAGCAAATCATGTCTATTTTGCTTTTCATCATTGTACCTTAGTTCTTGATTTATTTATGACCAATTAGGATTACAAGTTATTGTTAAAAACACATTAGGTTTACAATATATTTGAACCAATGCCAATGCATCCATGTATCTTTTTTTTTATTATCCCTAGGTCCACCAGTAAATGACGATGGTAAAATAATTCTTCGATCGATCTTATAACCTCTACTTTCACCTATTTCAAACTATCAACAATTCCTTGATAAAGTTTTGCCCATATTTGTTTTTTGTTATTACGAAAGTAATCTAATCTAGTAATTTCAATTTTTACATACATATCAATAACATATTGTTGTAAGAGCCTACCATCATGGAGCAAAATACAATTACATGAGTTTCAAACTTGTAATTTGTAGTCATAATATTCTCGACAAGACACATGTGACCTTTTCTTTCCCTTCTTCATAACTACAAGATAGAAAAAATCAAACATAATAAATTCAAAAAAATAATTTTCACATTATTAACCTTTAGTCTCTTTTTCAATCAATTTACTTGCATAATTTATGCTATTAATATTTGAAGGTTCTCTTGTGCAGAAGAACGATGAATCGTTTCTTTACTGAATCTTTCAATACCCCCATGCCATCCAAACTCACCATAAGGAAAATACAATGGGTATTGAAGGGGATCATAACATTCAAAATAATAATGTACTCTATGTGAAGTATCTGAATGACCATATATCGATATATTATGAATTCTATTGTTTGCAGATGGATCCTCATCAACCCAAACTACAACGACTTGTGATGATGTTGGTGTGTTGTAGACTCTTTGGTCTAAACTAAGATCACATCTTATTTTTATTTGACATGTATGTAAACTGTCAATATTGCTCAAAGAAAGACAGAATCTAGAGTAAGGATCAATCATTCAGATATCAATCAAAATTCGTAAAGTTGATTCACAAAATTTATTTAAAATGTTCAATTGATTTTGCAGTTCATTTTCAGTATCATAAAAGTATAAATTTAAATAAGTTGGGTTAATATTATATGGTAAAAGTTGATTTATGTAATGTTAAACTTGTCCTTAAACCCTAAATGTTTAGATGCCTTCGTTCATCTTACAAAAGTCTCTGTCATACTTGACACAGAACGATAGGAATGCAAAATGATTGTTAAAAGTTCTTGCAATTTTTTATTTTTTAAAAAATTCAATGTTTCTGGTGAACTTGAAGTAAATAATTCATTAGGTATTCTATGTATATGAAATTTAACTTTGCCATCTGAACAACAAAACCACTTATTCTCTCTACGAAATTTTTTGGCACTACAATATTCACAAATAGTTGATTGTGCAAGCACTTGGGATTTAGTCGGAATGTTCTACAAATTAAATTTTGTAGTATGCCCATTATTTTGTACAACTTCATCAGTTCTAAGTCGATCATGTTCATAGTCATATGGACAATCGACTCCCCATTCTGTTGTACTAAATCCAGGTCTCAAAGATTCACCATAACTACAATCGTTTGCTACAAAAAAATGAGTTGTCATTAATATTAAGAAGTGCAAATAGCGTTTCAGCAATAAGGGGTGAAGACAGCTCATGTAGTGAATTCAAGTTAATAAATATATGTAACAAAATGGCTAAAATCTACGAACTTACCTCTTTCAGGTTCAAAATCATCCCGATTTGGAACATTATCTGTGGAACCGAGACGTTTAGGGCCAACTTATTGGTGTCCACCATGCTCTTGAACTGGACATAGCCAAAAAAAATAAAGTCAAATATTTTGTAATAGATAAAAAAACAAGAAAAAAATAATTATGCCTCCAATAAAAGATGCTTACCTCTTAACATTGCAACATGTCTAGATTTCCTCGCCCGCATTTCATAACCTAGCTGCAATTCATGTCGCACAACAAATAATTCTGTACACTTTTTCCTCTGTGAATGTCCTTTCAGTGGAACAAATGTGCTACTAAAACCTTTGCTATGCAGTTGTTGATTAACATCCACATCAACGGCCCCACTTCCAACACCCTAAGCAAAGTTGTAACCTTTAACATCTACAATTTCTTGTTCACCATCTATTCCAATTGAAACAAAGAAAATCATTCTTCACAGATCTACATTTTGTGCATTAGCAACTTCTATTGATTTATTAACCGTGAAAAGTGCGTAGTCCAAAGTTCACTACTTCATCTCTCACATAATTACACACTGATTCATTAATGTTATTAACATTTATCATCTTTTTTTCCTTTCTCTTGCCTATTCAGTTTATTTTCTCCCTCTAGAATCCTGTTCTCTGCCTTCTACTCTTCTGCTTGTTAGGATTCCTACCTAGAACCAACCAAAAAAAATTGGTCAGAACATGCTACAGAACTTGGATTTCTTAGTTGTTTATCAAAATTTCGAGATGTAGTTAACATTCCCAGGAAAAAAGTATTTATACCCAAATAAATATATATATCATATGTTTTTTGTTTTACGAAAATATGCCTAAGCCTTTGTCGTCTATTAGAAAACAAAGGTTTGGGATTGTAAAATCTTGAGAGCAAACATTTTTTTATTTTTACTTTTCCACATAACAAAAACGTCAAATTTTTTCCATCAACACAAAAAAAATATATTACCAATCATTGATCTAGAGAAACAATGCACAAATACACACAGAAAAAATAGTGGAACAAAGAGAGCATAGATCTGAATGAACACAGTGTTTATTGGGTTCATGGCAACTTGTTATTGCAGATCCAAAATTACAGTAATACGATATTATCAATCTGCAAACACCTTAGTCCAAGCATCTTAAAGGACTTCACAAAAAATTCTACAACTAAAATCAACTTTCTACCAAAAGAGGTGACTACCATAAACTTTGAGCAATGTCATTTGACTCTCATCTGATCTTTGGCATTGATTTAATTTTCATCAGATTATCCAAACCCATAGGAGTCTATTGGTTGCAAACATTAAGTGCACGTAATACAAGTTCCAAGTGCGTTTTGCAGGGCCAGATGATCAAAGCTTCAGCAGATTGAAATAAATGTTCTATTTCTGGTATGATGGTTCGCGCTTCTTCAATTTCAAGGCCGTCCTTTTCGTTCAACTCTTCCAACCTGCAATTAGAGTTCCCCCAATTAGAAGTCACTCACAAAAAATAAAAAATCGCTCACGTAATTCAAAAGCAGGAACTTTTGTTCATGCTTTAGTCCCAAGGAATAAAATTATATCAGCTTACATAATATGATATATTAAGGCTAAAATATTAAACAAAATCAGCAACGTCTCATCAGTTTGCCTATAACTATCCATTTGACAGAATTCTATAGAAGCTCAGTAGAAAGACACACACTTCAACTGAGATTTTGATGTTAACTCAAAATTAAATAAGCCAATATTTAGTTAATAGGAAAAATGCAAGAGAGCAAAAGGAAAGTATCAAAACAATATTTTGATGTGTTTGGCAATCTGAAAAGCTATATTTATAGGTTTTGAATATAAACAGCAAATTTATAATTTATCTTTACAGAACACATATGCATACATTTATTTTTTTAAAAAAATCAAAGAAAAACATAAAAAAAAATATTTTCGTGACCAAAAAATTATAAAACAACAGCTATACCCCGTTAGTTGTCCATATATAAATAGCCACTTCATGTTTACAAAACATACAAGCATAAATTTTTTAAAAGAATTCAACTAAAAAAAAATAATATTAAAACATATCAACCTTAAAAAAAACACGACACCTAAAAAAAAAAACCCCAAAACTTGCAATAAAGCACATATATCGAACATACCTAGGAACAAAGAAGAAGAACATATCATGCAAAAAAATAAAAATAAAAAAACCCAACAAGAAGGAAAAAAAATGGCAACCGAGTAAAAACATTCAAAACTCACAAAGTATAGATCTTACCGTAGACACAGTCCATTAGGTTCATAGCAACCTCAATCTTGTGGACGAAGATCTTGTCGGTCAACTAGCATTGTGCACGACGCGCCAAAGTTTTGGCGAAGCCTTTCAAACAAAACAAACACTGATCTTTGTGCGAGTAAAAGATAGGTTGTGCGACAGAAGGAAAATTATGGAAATTTTGAGCGGTAGAACACAGATTTAGGCTTAATGCTTGAGGAGAACAAGGAAAATGATAAGCACAACACATTTGGGGTTTTTGCATGAGAAAATTGAAAAGAGAAATACAAAACATTACGGCATTGTTTGATTGCAAAGAATTCTATGGAAAATGTCGTATTCGAGGACAACGAATTCCACTTTGATTGTTTGATTACAATGTGGAAATGAAAATCAAATTTCAAGTTACAATTACTTTAATCTACATTTTCTTTGTTTTCATAAAAAACAAATTCTTTTGAATTTAATGGATTTTTACTTTCCAATTAACATGTAATTGAAATTTCTTTTTACCTTTGCCTATTAAACGGACATACATATGTTGGGTTTCAACGTGAGAATAAGACTGAAAAAATGCCAAAAGGAAGACAAATCATTTCTATCCACACGACAGAAAAAAATTGTGGATGGAAAATACATATTCACAAGAAAACATGACAAGAGTAGAGGGGCACACAGTTGTGAACGATGCCAACTCATGAGTCCACTTGATTCCTCTCACAAGGAATAAAACTGCAAGTAGCACGGTTAACATCTCGAATTCTGATAAATTAGTTTCATTATGTGCTAAGCTGAAATCCAATTTCAACTACTGAATGGCTCAAAAGGAATCGCATTCGGCCACCTCCACTTGAAAGCAGTGTTTTACTAAAGGACATCCCGAACCAACTTCAACTGAGCTCAAGGGCCAAAGTCGAGGCAATCAGCCAACGTGGTGTAAAATCAATACCCTGTCATAGCATGTAATGGCATTCACACAATGCTAAGCGCCAATGGAGGGCACGACTGAACAGAAAGGAACTTCATTGAAGGTTACATTCACGAAGCTCAACGTATGTAAATTGAATTCCCAGAAGTGACTATGTTACAATTCAGATTGACACAAATTATTGTCAGCCACAAACAGAAACATGACTTAGGCGAACAGGACATAGCAATTCCATCTTTTAACTGGGAGACACAAAGCATTACTTGCTTCCGCCACCAAACAGGTAGTCAAGGGAAGATCCACCACCAGGGGCAGCGTGGACTTTAGTAGAAGGTCGATCCTGTCAAAAAAAAGGTTCCCGTCTATCATTCTAATGGAAATTGTAAGCATAATAGATTACATAATCATGTATGAAGAACTGAAAGCCAATAGCTCATGGCACAGATTATGACGGATTGGATAAGAGATATAATGTGTACTAAATCGATTGATAGTGTGAGCTGCTAAAAGGTGGGGAAAGCATCAATGTTTATCCCAAATGGTACACAACTGTGTTCGATTAATATCACATCATACCCTGATATTCCATCACTGCCAGTCTGCCACAAATCCAGTATGTTAAACAGACGTGCAATTTGGTTGAAAATATGTGTAAATGTAAAAGTAGATGTTGGAACAAGAGGAATCAACTCCCGTGGTGCCAAAGTTTAAGAAACTGGAAATATGATGCAATGTAAGGACACGAACAAAATGTGATAACAATCTTCGTTTGTCATCCTTTCTTGGAATGAATAAGTAGAAACAGGGAATACAAATTATGAATTTGCATGTAATCAGTTTGGACTATTTGGTTGATCTTCATTTACTAAAAGATCCATTTGAATAGTGATCTTGATTAATCCCAATGAAAATAATGTTAAGAAATCCTAAAAAGGCTTTCCATTAGTTCACTTTAATGGTGAAGACTGAAGATTATAAGGTCTAGTGCCTCTAACACACAGAACTTGACCCTCTAAAGTCCTCTACAGTAGGAATATTTGGAGATAAGAGTAAATATAGTGTATGATTAGACTTTACATAGTCCAAAATTCATAGCATGGTACTTAAGACTGTTCAACATTTGAGTCAGCATTATCATGTACAAGCAAAAATAAATACATAAATGTGAGCACAGATGCATAACCATGATAATATGATTAAAATTGTAATCATACCGTGAGAAAGTTTCCAGTGTTCTGGCCATCAGCTCGGTAATAGTTATTCTTTTGGTTTCCCTGAATGCCAGCTGGAATCTGTTTACTAACATCAGCAGGAGTCTTCTCTGAATGCCCCTTGCTCACCGCCGGAGCTGGTTTCTGAGCAGGAGCTTCGGCTGCCGCAGGTTTCTGAGTTGGGGCTGGCGCCTCACCGTTTCCAAAAAGGTACCCAAGGGAACTCTGTCCCCCGCCACTGCTAACTCCACGACCCATTCTTTCTTAAAATTCTTAAATTCAACCCAATATTTGTCATCACATTGTTATATTGGTCTAAAATTCATGAAGTATATATAAATAAAAACAAAACCCTACTTTCATTGTAGTTAGGGACAGGAAAAGAATCTCAAAAAAAAAAAAAAAATGTTCATGCTTATTGAGTTATAATAAGCATATGATAAAGAAATAACAAATGAATTTTATTCAATTGGCTATTTAACTTTAATAAATTATAAAGCTGGAAAGCCTTTTACTACTACATTTTCCTGCAGTAATTTCACCAGACGATTTACACAAAAGTCTGCATTTTTAAAAATGATACAAAATCAATTAATCACACAAGAAATTCAGACTAAAATAGTCGCAATTATTGAATTATAGTAAGAAAATGATAAAGACATCACAAGTGAAGCTTATTCAATCAGTTATTTCACTTTTTCTCCACTCTTTCCTCCAGTAATTTCACCGAACAATTTACACTAAAGCTTGCATTTTCAAAACATAAAAAAAATATCAATTAATCACATAAAAAAATCCACACAAAATAAGACCCATAATTTCGATTATTAATTAGATCATAAGTAGCAACCAAGATTAAAATAAAAAGAAAAGACACTGCAAGAAACACAGATCACTTTGCACGGAAGTAATTTAAAGGAAATCACTGAGTAATGTCTCTATCAGTTTTGTTTGAACATAACAATCAGAATCAAAAAGTAGATCTGGAATCAAAATCAGTGTAAATTAACAGAGCATGCAGAAAACAGATGATAATACAGTGTGCAAGTGCAACTAAGCTAAGTGCATTTTCGTTTATGAAAAGAATATAACAAGAAACCAATAGTAAAATCCAAATCGATTTTTACAGCTCCAAGAATTGAATTATTATCTTTCTATAAACAGATCCAAGGCACCAAAATATTAAGAAGCACGAGAAATTACCTCTGCATAGACACAGTCGCGACTCGCACAAGGATTCCCCGACTCCAGGCCATAGCTGCTGCTTCTGCCTCTAATGGAAATATCTCTTGGGAAGTATACATAAATCCTGCTTTTACTTATACACATTTCAAAATTAAGGTATGATGTTTTAAATTTCAAAAATCAGGTTTTTATTTAAATTTATTTATGAATTACTTAATTAATTATATATTTTATTAATAAATATATAACGGTCACAGATTTATACAATTTGGTCACAATTCAAAATTTTATGG